GTAATATTGGTAATCTAAATCTGTAATATTGTTAACCTAACACTGTACTATTAGAAACCCAACACTATAATATTAGTAACCCAAGACTGTAATATTAGTAACCCAAAACTGAAATATTAGTAATCCAACACTGTAATATTAGTAACCTAACACTGTAATATTAGCAACTAAACACTGTACTATTTGAAACCCAATACTGTAATATTAGTAACCCAAAATTGTAATATTAGTAACCCCAAACTGTAATATTAGTAACATAACACTGTAATATTAGTAACCTAACACTGTAATATTAGCAACTAAACACTGTACTATTTGAAACCAATACTGTAATATTAGTAACCCAAAATTGTAATATTAGTAACCCCAAACTGTAATATTAGTAACATAACACTGTAATATTAGTAACCTAACACTGTAATATTAGCAACTTAACACTGTACTATTTGAAACCCAATACTGTAATATTAGTAACCCAAAATTGTAATATTAGTAACCCCAAACTGTAATATTAGTAACATAACACTGTAATATTAGTAACCTAACACTGTAATATTAGCAACTAAACACTGTACTATTTGAAACCCAATACTGTAATATTAGTAACCCAAAATTGTAATATTAGTAACCCCAAACTGTAATATTAGTAACATAACACTGTAATATTAGTAACCTAACACTGTAATATTAGCAACTTAACACTGTACTATTTGAAACCCAATACTGTAATATTAGTAACCCAAAATTGTAATATTAGTAACCCAACACTGTAATATTAGTAACCCAACACTGTAATATTAGTAACCCAAAACTGTAATATTAGCAACTTAACACTGTACTATTTGAAACCCAATACTGTAATATTAGTAACCCAAAACTGTAATATTAGTAACCCAACAGTGTAATATTAGTAACCTAACACTGTACTATTGGAAACCCAACACTGTAATATTAGTAACCCAATACTGTAATATTAGTAATCCAAATCTGTAATATTTATAACCAAACAGTGTAATATCTGTAACCCAACAAATTAAAATTATAGCATTATGACGTTACGTTTGACCTAGTTTTCTAATTGTGTTGAAATAAACTTGCTTTCATAAACAACACTATGTTTATCTCTATGCATTTACTTAGCGTATGTATTCTTTTAAGTGTGCAACGCTAGTTACAGAAAACAGATGTTGACAAGCAAGGGTTTATCAGTAACATACCCATGGGCACAAGATTCATCACGTGATAACAATGACAGGTTAATGAATATTAGGTTTACAAGTCCACTAACAACGTACGCGTCTTGCATTAATGATTTGACGTCAGCAAACAAGACTGATTGACGTCACAAATTGGCCCACTTATGACAGCCATTTATCACAAACATGTTCATACTACCTTACTCATAATATCTACAGACCTTGGTCTGCTAAATGGGTTGGTCATAAACTGATGAAATGTATTTGCGTCCTCACCATCACGTCCTACCCAGGTGTGTAACGCGTGTTACAATATATTCGTATATTTATAGTTCACAGGTACCACATAGAGCCAATATATATGATAGTTCACAGGTAACACATAGAGCCGATATATATGATAGCTCACAGGTAACACATAGAGCCGATATATAAGATAGTTCACAGGTAACACATATAGCCGATATATATGATAGCTCACAGGTAACACACGCAGCCGATATATATCATAGCTCACAGGTAACACACACAGCCGATATATAAGATAGTTCACAGGTAACACATATAACCGATATATATGATAGTTCACAGGTAACACATAGAACCGATATATATGATAGTTCACAGGTAACACATAGAGCCGTTATATATGATAGTTCACAGGTAACACATAGAGCCAATATATATGATAGTTCACAGGTAACACATAGAGCCGATATATAAGATAGTTCACAGGTAACACATAGATCCAATATATATGATAGCTCACAGGTAACACATAGAACCGATATATATATATATATGATAGTTCACAGGTAACACATAGAGCCGATATATATGATAGTTCACAGGTAACACATAGAACCGATATATATATATATGATAGTTCACAGGTAACACATAGAGCCGATATATATGATAGTTCACAGGTAACACATAGAGCCGATATATATGATAGCTCACAGGTACCACATAGAGCCAATATATATGATAGTTCACAGGTAACACATAGAGCCGATATATATGATAGTTCACAGGTAACACATAGAGCCGATATATATC